CCAACGCCGACGCCGACGCCGACGCAGACGCCGACGCCGACGCCGACGACGACGACGACGACGACGACGACGACGACGACGACGACGACGACGACGACGACGACGACGACGACGACGACGACGACTACGACGACGACGACGACGACGACGACGACGACGACGACGACGACGACTGGGGATTACCAGCTCCCGTATGCACCTATGAGGGATTCGGAGCTCTCGACGCACGCCCCGCCGAGGCTACGGGCACGACGTGGCCCGGCCTGCAAAAGATTGCAAACGGACACCAGTGCCAGCGATCATCGATTCAGGAGATTGTTCCTCGACTTCGGTTTCTGGAGGCCGGCTTCGGACTCAGGGGCCCCCAGAAGTCGATCCCCGACGGGAAACTGATCCGAATGCACCCTGGCAAGGGTATGGGGACCGATTTTGAACCGATTTGGGACCGGCAGTCGTCGTCGTCGCCGTCGTCGCCGTCGTCGTCGTCGTCGTCGTCGTCGTCGTCGACCAGGAGGGGATGGCGAACCCCCCAATTCGGAGTGGCCCCGCTGACGGGCGCTGGCGCCCAAAGCCAGTGGACCTCGAAACAGCATCTCACCATGCTCTCCCACCAGTGGACCTCCTCCCCTTCCATGCTCTTCCTGATCACCCTCCCCTCTTCCCCCGATAACGACGATGATGACGATGAGGAAGGTGGTGGTACTGATGCTGACGAGCTCATCATGAGCATCACAATCATCATCATCACCATCATCATCATCTTCATCACCAACACCAACACTACCATCACCATCCACACCATCGTCACAATCATCCTCCTCCACCTCCTCATCATCATCAATGCCATCACCCTCGTCATTATCATCACCACCATCATCAGGATCCATCGCCGCAGGGGCCCGATTTCCAAAGCCCCGTTGGCAGGAACAGAAGCCCCGTTGGCAGGAAACAGACGTTACTTCGCGCTCTTCGACTCCCAGAACTCCATTCCCGGGCCACATTCTGAATGCCCGGAGCCAACTGTAGGCCACTTCGTGGTCTTCGAGTTCCCAGAACTCCATTCCCGGCGTACATTTTGGATGCCCGGAGCCAACTGTAGGCCACGTCGTGGTCTTCGAGTTCCCAGAACTCCATTCCCGGGCCACATTTTGGATGCCCGGAGCCAACTGTAGGCCACTTCGTGGTCTTCGAGTTCCAGAACTCCATTCCCGGCGTACATTTTGGATGCCCGGAGCCAACTGTAGGCCACTTCGTGGTCTTCGAGTTCCCAGAACTCCATTCCCGGGCCACATTTTGGATGCCCGGAGCCAACTGTAGGCACTTCGTGGACTTCGAGTCCCAGAGAAAAAACTCCATTCCTTGGGCCAGAATATATGAATGCCCGGAGCAATTGTAGCCCTTCGTGTTCTTAGAGTTTCCAGAACTCCATATCCGGCCACATTCTGAATTGGGAGGCAGGCTGAGGTGAGCTGAGGCAGGCTGATGCTGAGGCAGGCTGAGGCTGCGGCTGAGGATGATGCAGGCTGAGGCTGAGGCAGGCTGAGGCTGAGGCCGAGGCTGAAGGCAGACTGAGGCTGAGGCTGAAGCAGGCTGAGGCTGAGGCTGAGGCAGGCTGAGGCTGAGGCAGGCTGAGGCTGAGGCAGGCTGAGGCTGAGGCTGTGACTGCGATTGCCGTTGCCGCTGCGACTGTCATCGCGAATGCGATTACGACTGCGAGAACAGCAGAATTCGACAACTGGATTTTCATTTGAATCTTAAGGGGAATGATGCTTCCAGATATGCCCTACACATCGCTGTTATAGGTTGCTGGCCGGATAATTTTTTTCGACGCCAGCAGCAATCACAGATTCAATTTGATTCAAACTTCTTTTACTTACACAGCTTTCGGATGGTTTCTAGAGGGTCAAAAGAGAGCAGCAGATGACTCCACAGGGGGGTCTGGGCGGGTGCCGGACAGGGTGCCGCAGAAGTCGTTTTAAGCCAACAGTCGCACACTTCGTGCTCTTCGACCTCCAGAACTCCATTCCCGGGCCACATTCTGAATGCCCGGAGCCAACTGTAGGCCACTTCGTGGTCTTCGAGTTCCCAGAACTCCATTCCCGGCGTACATTTTGGATGCCCGGAGCCAACTGTAGGCCATTTCGTGGTCTTCGAGTTCCCAGAACTCCATTCCCGGGCCACATTTTGAATGCCCGGAGCCAACTGTAGGCCACTTCGTGCTCTTCGACTTCCCAGAACACCATTCCCGGGCCACATTTTGAATGCCCGGAGCCAACTGTAGGCCACTTCGTGGTCTTCGAGTCCCCAGAACTCCATTCCCGGGCCACATTTTGAATGCCCGGAGCCAACTGCAGGCCACTTCGTGCTCTTCGAGTTCCCAGAACTCATTCCCGGGCCACATTTTGAATGCGAGAAGGCTGAGGCTGAGGCTGAGGCAGCAGGCTGATGCTGAGGCAGGTGCACTGGAGGCTGAGACGAGGGCAGATGCAGCTGAGGTGAGGCAGCCTGAGGCTGACGCCGAGGTGAAAGACCCCGAAGGCAGACTGAGGTGAGGCTGAAGCAGGCTGACGGCTGAGGGCTGAGGCAGGCTGAGGATGAGGCTGAGGCAGGCTGAGGCTGAGGCTGTGTCTGTGACTGCCGTTGCCACTGCGACTGTCATCGCGAATGCGATTACGACTGCGAGAACAGCACAATTCTACAACTGGATTCTCATCTGAATCTTAAGGGGAATGCTTCCAGATATGCTCTTACACATCGCTGTTAGGTTGCTTTGCCGGGATAATTTCAATTCCTGGTTTTTTACTAAACAGCTTGTTCTGATAGGTTTCTAGTGGTGTCAAAAGAGAGCAGCAGATGACTCCACAGGGCGGTCTGGGCGGGTGCCGGACAGGGTGCCGCAGAAATTGTTTTAAGCCAGCAGTCACACACTTCGTGCTCTTCGACCTCCCAGAACTCCATTCCCGGGCCACATTCTGGATGCCCGGAGCCAACTGTAGGCCATTTCGTGCTCTTCGACTTCCCAGAAATCCATGCCGGGCACTATTTTGGATGCCGGAGCCCAGTGTTAGGCCCACTTCGTGTCTTCGAAGTTCCCAGAACTCCATTCCCGGGCCAACATTTTGAAAGCCCGGAGCCAACTGTAGGCCACTTCGTGGTTCTTCGAGTTCCCAGAACAATATTCCTGGGCATGATTTTGAATGCCGGGAGCCAACTGTAGGCCACTTCGTGTTCTTCGAGTTCCCAGAATTCCATTCCCGGGCCACATTTTGAATGCTGAGGCAGGCTGAGGCTGAGGCTGAGGCAGGCTGAGGCTGAGGCAGGCTGAGGCTGAGGCCGAGGCTGAGGGCAGACTGAGGCTGAGGCTGAAGCAGACTGAGGCTGAGGCTGAGGCAGGCTGAGGCTGAGGCTGAAGCAGGCTGATGCTGAGGCAGGCTGAGGCTGAGGCTGAGGCTGATGCAGGCTGAGGCTGAGGCAGGCTGAGGCTGAGGCCGAGGATGAAGGCAGACTGAGGCTGAGGCTGAAGCAGGCTGAGGCTGAGGCTGAGGCAGGCTGAGGCTGAGGCAGGCTGAGGCTGAGGCTGAGGCAGGCTGATGCTGAGGCAGGCTGAGGCTGAGGCAGGCTGAGGCTGAGGCTGAGGCTGATGCAGGCTGAGGCTGAGGCAGGCTGAGGCGGAGGCCGAGGTTGAAGGCAGACTGAGGCTGAGGCTGAAGGAGGCTGAGGCTGAGGCTGAGGCAGGCTGAGGCTGAGGCTGAGGCTGAGGCTGGCTGATGCTGAGGCAGGCTGAGGCTGAGGCTGAGGCTGATGCAGGCTGAGGCTGAGGCAGGCTGAGGCTGAGGCCGAGGCTGAAGGCAGACTGAGGCTGAGGCTGAAGCAGGCTGACGCTGAGGCTGAGGCTGAGGCTGAGGCTGAGGCTGAGGCAGGCTGAGGCTGAGGCAGGCTGAGGCTGAGGCTGAGGCTCATGCAGGGTGAGGCTGAGGCAGGCTGAGGCTGAGGCCGAGGCTGAAGGCAGATTGAGGCTGAGGCTGAAGCAGGCTGAGGCTGAGGCTGAGGCAGGCTGAGGCTGAGGCTGAGGCAGACTGAGGCTGAGGCTGTGACTGCGACTGCCGTTGCCACTGCGACTGTCATCGCGAATGCGACTACGACTGCGAGAACAGCAAAATTCTACAACTGGATTCTCATCCGGATCTTAAGGGGAATGCTTCCAGATATGCTCCTACACATCGCTGTTAGGTTGCTTTGCCGGGATAATCTGTCGATCACGTGCATCTCGACGCGATGCATATATTAGACTTGGGTGTTTCCCAGTTTTTGAGCGGCGCAATAATGCACAGCCTGTGCGCACGCACTTTCGCTGGATCCACGAAAGTACTGGGCCCGCTAGCGTTGCAATGGCAGCCGTGCCCCCCCCCCCCCCCCCTCCCCCCTCCATCCGATCTCCTCCCCCGCCCCCCCCCCCCCCCCCCTTCCTTTTTTGCATCGGCCCTCCTCCACTTCATCTTCCAAATGCCTCGTCCACGGGGGGCGCGCTGTCGGAGCGATGCGAGCAGGCTCAGGGCGCCCGCGCTCGAGCAGCGCAGGTTCGATAAGTTGCGCGCGCTTCGCAGGCGCGTGAAGTCGTGTCATAAACTGCGCCGCATGCATAGCCGCAAGCAACTTACGGTAATCAAAGAGCTGAAGTGGCAACAGCTTTCGCCTTCAGCCGAGCACCCGCGCTCGAAAGCAAAGGCGGCCCAGACTCGCCACCTGCCCCCGCTCATGGAGCTTTTATGTGCCGAGTATCATGGTTTTTTAGGTACTCAAGGCGCCGCCTTGCATAGGGCGCGCAAGCACTTGAACGAGGTGCACACCGCCATGCGGCGCGACCCACGCCGCGCAACGCCCGCGGCCTGCCTTTCAGCGCTTCAGCGCAGCATGAGACGCTTTCTCTTCGAATGGCGCCAGCATGGCGGCCACCGCGTTTTTAATTCCACAGCGCGTGGGATCTGGTGCGCCGCGCCGAGGTTCACGGGAACCCTATGCATTACTGGGCGCACGCGGACGAGGAGATGAACCGCCGCATGGCCACGGTGGCCAAAAGCCTCCACGGAGGTGGCACTTTTGATGCCACCTTCCTCGACAAGGTCCTGCGAACCCCCGAAAAACCCGGTTTTCGGCCTTCGGTGAACCCAACCCTTCGCAACCAAACACGGCAAGTCCATCAACAACACACAACAACACACAACAACACACAACGACACAACACCAACAACAACAACAACAGCAACGGGAACAAGAACAACGACGCCATCAACATCAACAGCGCGCGCACAACAGCAACAACAGGCCACCATTGTCAGCGCAGAGGGCCCCATGCTGCGCTTCGGTTCCACCCTGCGTTTCTCGAGGGGGCGTGCGGTCGAGGCATGGGGCGCCCCCCAAGAGGGCTCAACCGCCGGGGGTTGGGCGAAGGGAAACAGGAGGGACGAGGGCGACCGCTCCCGCCGAGCGCGCGCGCTCGAAAGCGCAGGCGGCGCAGACCCGCCACCCCCCGTTCGCTTTGTTGCTCCGCTCTTCGTTTTGGAGGAAAGAAAGGCTTAGGAGGAGGAAGAGGAGTGCCCAGCACGCGGAGAGGCCGTGGATCGCCCCCCCGCGCAGCAAGCGGACTTGGCGCCTTTTCGATTGGGGGGGGAGGAGGAGGAGGGGGAGGGGGGGGAGGAGCAGCACCAGCAGGAGAAAGAGCAGCAGGAGGAGGAGCCGCAGGAGGGAGGAGGGGGGAGGGAGGAGGGGGGAGGGAGGAGGGAGGAGGGAGGGGGAGGAGGAGGAGGAGGAGGCATCCATTAGCGCGGTCGTTCACGACCCTCGCGAAGGGCGCGTGGCCCCCTGACTGATGCTGAACGCATCGCGGCGCTGAGCTCGCATCGCGACGTCGCACTTCTGGAGGAAGTTCTTTGGGATCCCGGGGTGCCGTTTTGAAGGCCATCGCTCGGTATGTGCATATATATATATATATATATATATATATGTATATATGTGCGCGTGCGCACGCTGTATATATACATGAATGGACGGAACAAAGGGAAGGACCTTATACAGGTGTGTATAATCAAAGATATACTATAGTAATTGTGAAATATATACATATATACACACATATATATACACACCCACCATGCCGTCATGGCGTATATGTGATTCACCAAGCGAGGACGGATTCGCGCGGCGAGAAGCCCGCGGCCCACCCCTACGAGCAGTCGCTGGGGCTCGGCCCGCGCCAAGATCATGCCTGTTGTCTTTTATTTAAAAACCGATGCCATCTGGGGGCGGCGCCGTTGTGGCCAGCGAACGGCACGCGCGCGCGCATCAACAAACACACACAAACACACGTACACACGCAACACACACACACACACAACAGACATGCGCACATACATACATACATACATGCATACATACGCGCGTGTATAAGAGGGCGGACAGCCGCCATTTTACCAGGCCAGCCCCTGTGCCGCCCATCCAGACGACGGCACAGCTGGGCGCTGCCACTTCTCATTTTCGCTTTTTCTCGGCGAGCGGGGTGGCGACAAAGTGGCCGCGACGGATCAATTGGACCTGGGGGGGCAGGGGCGGGTAAGAGGGGGCCCTCGGGCCACGCGCGCACGCACAAACAAACAACCAAACAAACCAACGCACACAAACACACACACACACACACACATACACACACGCACACACAAAAACACACGCACGCACACGCGCACGCACGCACACGCACGTGTGTGAAACAAGCGGCAATGACGATTGGAATTCGTTGTTGTCGCGCACCCCTTTGTCCCGCGTTGCCTGCGTCGAGGGAAGCGAGGCCATCTGGTGGTGGCGATTCGTGGCCGCGCGGCCGCTGCCATATCTTGCGCCCCCGGGGGCGGCGGCATGCACCCCCCCAGGAACCGAGGGAATGGCGAGGAAGGAAAAGGGGGGAGGAGATGGAGGAGGAAGAAGAGGAGGAAGAAGGGGCCCCTCGCTCGAGGCCACGGGCGGGCGCCCACGGCGAGCGGCACGCCGCGCTGCGTCCGAGGGCGTGGAGTTCAAGTGCATTCCCTGCATTTTTGAAATATGGGGGAGGGGGGGAGGAGGAGGAAGAGGAGGGGGAGGAGGAGGACGAGGACGAGGAAGAGCAGGGGGAAAAGGGAAGAGGAGGAGGACGTGGCGACACCATTTGGACGCGGCGGTAAAGTGGCCGCTAACCCCAGACATCGGGCGCCTCGAAAAAAAACAGACGACAATGTCTCATAATTTCCGGCCTGCGGGGGGGTAGTTTCACGTGCGGGGCCTCGGGGCCGTTCAAGAAAGATTCGGAATATCGGGGCGTCTGATGCGTGGGGAGTGCAGGGGGGGCATATATATATATATATATATATATATATATATATATATAATATATGGTGTGGCCTGCTGCGGCCGCCCCACGCGAGGCTCGCGGATCCATGGGGAGCAATCGGAGTCGCTCGCAGTGGACTGTGATCACCACTCTGTTTCACCACCTTGTTTCACAACGTTTCACTCCTGGTGCAGGCCGCCCTCAAGGCGCTGGCCTCGCCAGTTCCTGGCGCAGGCCGCCCTCGCGAGCGCTGGCCTCGCCATGATCTGGCGCAGGCCGCCCTCGCGAGCGCTGGCCTCGCCATCCTTGCCTGCGCGAGCACGCCCGTCCTCGATCGTGCGCTGGCCTCGCGCGCGGCCGGCTCATTAAAGCGCGCGTTCCTGCCCATCTCCGTGGCGATGCCACGTGGGGCGGCGCTGAAGTGGCCGCGCGGCCGCTTGCCTTCGGGCGCGCATATATACGAAGTGAAAGAATATGCCCCCTCTCTTCCTCATAACCCCCCACCCCTTAATAAAACTAGACCTCCCGCCCCAGGGCGTCACTCCGACCGAGAACGGTGCGACCGCCGGCTCGGCTCGAGGTTCGCCGCGGAGAGCGGCGCGACATGTCGCGCATGCAACTTTTGGGCGCTGCGCAAAGAAACATCAGACAACAAACAACTAACGAACAGACAAAAACAAACAGGCAACAATTTTACATATGTATACATGTGTTTATGTATATATATATATATATATATATATATATATATATATGCATACATACATACATATGTGGCGTCGGCTGTTCGAGCCCGCGGGATCGCAAACACTGCGATATGAGCACGGCATCGACGGCCTTGTCCCAGAGCTGCTTCCACTTACTATGCGACCTGAACAAAATCATCGAATCATCGTGTCCTACACAAATGTATGCATGTATGCATGCATGCATGTATGTATATATGTATATATATATATACATATATATATATATATATATATATATATATATACATATCGGTCAATGTTAATGTGTAATGGACAACATCATCATATCCAGCAAGAGTGTTGGAATTGTTTTTTTCTTCTGATGTCTTGGTTTTTCGTTCGCGTCTTGGTTTAAAACCATGACGTCCTCTCACGCCATGGTTTTACCATGACGGATGGATGTGTGGGGACTCCTCTGCTCCTGCCTCACCTCTCGATGCTCCACCATCTCCGTGCTGATCGTCCTCCCCCCCTCCGTGCTCCTCGCCTCCTGCTCTGCGATCCCTCCGAAACCGCAGCAGCACCGTCCTGGCGACCAGCTCAGCCATTTCCTGGGAGTACGTCTCGCTGCGCTTGGTGGCCGCCTTACCCTCGACAAGGTCGTGCACGTGGTCGCCGCTGCAGCGGAGGTTGAGAGCGCTCGCGACGTCCTCTGAGGCAGAGACGATGCGCGTCGGCTTGAGGCGAAGTCCGCCTGCAGCGCTCCTGAGGTTCAAAGTGCACGGGTCAAGGCGAACTTGATGCCAGACCGGGTCGGCCAGGAGCCCGGCCAAGTGTCGCCAGGCAGCCGGTAGCCGAGGGTTTTCGCCCGAGCAACCCCTGCCCTTGGCCGCCCTCTCGGTCATGATCCGCTTGGCCAGCGCCAGAAAAGCCGCGCCCTCCGTCTTGACCTTGTAAAGATCGACCCCACGCGACTCGCTGAGCGCGACGAAAGCACAGAACGCGGTTCAGGGCCAGCGGACCCACGTCTCGCGCGGGTCGCACTGCTGGATCAAGGCGAGCAGCAGCCTCCGATCTCGTCAGCGTCGCCGGTCTTGGCCGTGCTGGAGTCCGATCTTGATGGCTCGTCCTCCTTGCTGTACCACCGCCCGAGACACGTGGGCCTCGCCAGTGAAGATCTCGAGGAAATCCAGGCGACACCCGTGCGGAGGCAATGCTGCCGTTTGCACTCCAAGCCAACCCCGGATGGCATCCTCCAGAGGGCTTGGGCCCATCTCGCCTACCTTATCGCCGTCCTGGGCCTCATCTTCCTCAACCTCCCCCGCCGCTGCCTCCTCGATGAGGAGCGCTGAGTTGGCGAGGGCCTCGTCGCTCAGGAGGCCCACCAGGAAGCCCGAAGCAGGGCGCCGCGTAGCCGAAAGCCCCGCAGCCTCCGCGCAGCGTTGGCACGCTAGGGCCCCTGGGAGTGCTGGAGGCGATCTGGCGGTCAGCGCCAGCTTCAGTGGCGCCTCCCAGCCAAGGGCGGGCAGCTCTTGGACGTCAATGCCGGCCCCGTACAGCTGCCCCATGACACCCGCTCCTGGCGGGACGAGCACCCGCATGTGACCCTTGTGAATCAGGGAACCCACAGAATATCCCCCTCCCCCCTGGTGAACGCCGCGCCGATGATGAGCTCGACTGCCGCCCTGCCGCAGTAGTCCACGCGCACCGCTCCTAGCGCCTTCGCGCGCAGGAGGTATGGGGACAGCGCCGCGTACATGCGGTAGTCCTTGTCGTGGTCCCGGTAGGTGAGGTCTCGGCAGAAGATGCGAAGGTCCGCTTCGGCTTGGGTCAAGAGGCCAGGGACCCCACCCAGAGCTCCTTCTGCAATCCGCGCTGCCTGCAGCATCTCCTTGCGGAAGCGAAGGCCTTCCTCCTGGACAGCGATTGCTGACGGCCAGTCCCCCGTCGGAGGCATTCCTTGATTGATCATGTTGGCTGCCACCACGTTGATGATCGCACACTCCCGCAGCTCGATGTCTGGAGGCTCTTTCCGCGAGTGCGGCAGGCCATCCAGCGCCTCGACCGTCTCCGGGTCCAGCGCCAGTTTGTCGCGGTAGTCGAGCACCGTCCATTCCGCGCCCGCCAGCACAAGCGCGCCCTTGCCAGGCTCGTCGCCCCCCCCCCTCCCCATGCGATGGGGCCCTCAACGGCCTGGCGCGTGGTGACCTCGCCTGCCTTACTACGGCCATAGTGCCGCTGCAGGAACGCATCTGCCGCTTCCGCCTGCTCCGGGCAGCCGTAGTCCACAGCATGTGCTGCCAAGGCCTCGACATCGTACTCCTCTCCTGCTTCCTTAGCTGCCCTGACTCGGTTCCGTAGGTAGCACCGGAGCAAGCCAGGTGCCGCCGCTGCACGCGCCAGGGCCGGGTCGGTGTCGATCTCGTGCGCGACTTCCTTGCGCCTGGCTAGCTCCGGGATGGAGTCTGGCAAAGGGGGCTCGCTGTTGCTTGGCCTGATGGTGGTTGCCCAGCCACTTGGCGTCTGGGCCCTGCATGGTGACTCGAAGGTGCTCCTCGAGCTCCGTCGGGTTGAAGTCCTTGAGCTCCTCAGGCGCCTCTACCCATCCTGACGGCGGCTGTGTCTCAGGGCCCGCGCCAGCGTGGCTGGCCTCCTGCACAGCCCCCGACGGCTCCTGATCGGCGACGGCCGTGATGCTGCCGCACTTCTTGCCGCCTCCCTTCGCACTCGCTGCGGGAGTCGGTCCTTTCTCCTGGGCTCCTGCCGCAGCCGCCTCACCCGCCCTCTTGGAGGCCTCCTCGGCATCGTGCGCCTGTCGCAGCGCGGCAATCCCGTTGTCCGCCTCCTCGCGCGAGCCCACCTTGGGGCCGCCCTCGGGCCCGCCCCTCTTGATCAGCTGCATCTGCACGGTGCGATCGAGTAAACCTACCTTGCCGATCGGCTCGTGCGAGTGCGGGCGTGACAAGTTCCGGCAGCCCTTCCAGCTGGAATTGCCCCAGCAGATGATGCGGCCGCTCGCCGGAGACGTCGGGCGGTGATCGAGGCTGCGACCGTACTCCTTACGAGTAAGGGCATGCCCCAGCAGCGCGGCACCTCCTCGACCTCCTGCCGCTCCTCCTGCTGCACCTCCCGCCCCCAGCCCGCCTACCCCCACCTTGCCCGCCTTGGGCCCAGGCCTGGAGTGGATCGGCTGCGGGGCGGGCACCGCGCTGGAGCGGAAAGCCGTCTGCCACTGTGACTTCGTGAGCTTGTTGTGATGCCTGACCATGATGTCCGTCATGAAATACTGGTGGTGCTCATCGAGGAAGTAGGTGCGCGGCATCCGCAGCAGCGGCCCAGGGTCCTCGCTGCTGGCTGGGGACGTGCAGACGAAGCGCATGCGATCCCACGTCGGATTCTCGTCTCCCATGAGCTCCAGCATGCGCGCCCTCTTCATGCGCAGCTCCTCGCACCAGCGGCCTCGAAGCTCCGCCCATCTGCCGAAGATGACGTTGGGCGGCCATGCATACTCTGCCTCGTCGTTGAGACTGAGCAGGTGCTCGGCGGCCCTGATCTGCTGGTCGTAGTGCTCCTGGCCGTAGAAGCACGCCCAAGCCCACGACTCCCGCTGAGCGTCTTGGAACCAGCGCTGGGGCGTCGACGCATGCCTTGGCCGAGCCTCGAGCTTGGAGTCCTTCGGCGGCACGTAGTTGCCCACGTCTCCACGTCCGCCCCCGTCGAGGCAGTAGTCCGGCAGGTGGATCTGATCGCGCCCGCCGTGCTGGAACGCCGCGAGCCCATGCGCGATGTTGTTCGTGATATTCGTGGGGAACTTGATCGACCGCAAGAGCGGTCTGGAGTTCTGACTCACGGACCTCAACGCATGGAAAGCGCCCTTGCCCAGCAACCCCGGACACAGCGTGACGGTGTAGTAGTCGCAGCCTCTCGCCATGAAAGCGAGCTGCTCCTGCGCGCGCCCGGTGCTGGCCGAGGTGCCCTTGGCTGCGCCTCCTGACTCCTCCACATGCTTGTTGGCTCGCCCCAGCTCGCGCACCAGGTTCTGAAGCCCAATGCCGACCTCAGACTCGGGCGACGGCGCGCCCAGGACCCTCTCCTCTTGCGGCATCGACGAACCTCCTGCGCGCCACTCCCGCGGCCGCGTAGCACGCTCCACGAGGGAGGGCTGCTGGGGCGGTCTGGCGGTCCAAGGCGTAGTCGAGCTGGCCCTTCCTGTTCCATAGAACGCACTCGAGTTGAAGCTGCCCTGCGCCTCCTGCCGCGGGGGCGGCCTCTGACCGAAGCTTAGGAAACCCAGGCCCGGCGCGGGCCCTGCTGGGGAAGGCCTCGGCGGGACCGCCGGGCCCGCATGCCCGCCCCCTGCGGGCCAAGTTGGCACCGCCGCCCTCCGACAGCCGCCTCGTGACCGTCGTGGGGCGCGCGGGCCGGTGGCGGCGCGGGAGGCCCCTCCGCCCCTCCTGGGGATTGGCCTCCTTCTCTTCCCTCGAGCTCCTTGCTCCACACCTCGCGGCATCCTCTAAGGAGACTAGCGCCCGCCTCGCTGACGCCTCCCCCGTGCGTCGCGTCGGCCGCCTCGATGAGCTCCGCGAGCATCTCGTGCCTGCCCATGCCGCTCTCGGACGAGATGGCCCCTCTGGCCGCGTCGTCTGTGAGCCCGTCCGCGCGCTTGGTGAGGTAGGCCGAGATGCGCGTCGACCTCGGGCCCTGGCTCCGCTGCTCCTCATCTTGCTCCTGAGCCTTCCTCAGCTTCGCGTCGAAATCCGACCGCGTCTCTCTCCTCGTCGGAGTAGTGCTGCGGCTCCTGGACCGCGCCCGCTTGGCGCGGTGATGACGGCTGCGGTCCTTGCTGAGCGCTATGGCGGATGCTGGACTCAAATCGCCCCCCCGGTAGTTCGCGCCGTCGCCGTGGTCCGAGAGCCGCGGCGCTGCGCCGGAACGCCAACAGATGGCGGGGGGCTGGGCCCCCACGAACTCGTCGAGCAACTCTGGCCTCGGCGCCGAGAAGGCACCATCCGGGATGGAGAAGACCAGCCCCAAGCCAACCGCCTCCACGTCCGTCCGCGGGTCGTCGTCGTTGAAGTCCTTGGCAGGGCCGACGAAGCGTGCCGGGACGCTGTAGTACGCATCCCATTCGTGCTCCGCGTCTCCCAGGGGGTCCCGCACATGTAGTAACCACGCAGCCTCAACCTCAGCCTTGGCAGGGCTGGCTTTGCGGCCCAAGGCCCCAGGGGGGCGGCGAGCTGCGCGGTCCTCGCCCCTCCTCTCCGGCTCCTTGCTGCTTGACTTCCGATCCCGAGCTCCATCCTCCTGGCGAGGCGCGGCCGAGCGACTGCGCCAGCCCACCGTCCGATCGGCTGCGTGAGCCGCGCACAGGGAGAAGCCGTCCTTCTCGACCACGTGGGCGCGATGACACTGCGAGCGTGCGCACCTCCGCGCCGCCGCCTGGCTCTCGCAGGTGCCCGCGTGATGGGCACGCGCCCGAAAGACCCGGGCACCCCCCTCCTCCTGCATCTCACGCGCGTCTGATACCGCGGTGTCCCCGACCAGCATGAAGACTGGATCCTGCCTGGCTGTATCCCGGCAGCGCGCGGCGCTCAGGATTTGGGTGCCGTCCTTGGTGACGTGCGCCGCTTGATCTGCCTGACAGACGTCCACGCTGGGCGCTGACTCAGTCTCCGAGTTGGGGTCCATCTCCTCGGCCTTGCTGGGCGGTTGCCCCAGCTAGGGGTGCCCCAGCCTCCGCCTGGTGCAGCGCCGAAACAGCTTCCCCCCCGCTCTGCCCACTCCGCGACATACCCAGGAGCAGCACAACCAGCTGCCAATCCTAGCACGTCCCGCTGGAGGAAGCTTAGCCAGGTCCGCCACGTTGACCGGGGAGCTGTTGGCTACAACGCGCGAGGAGCAGACGTGGACCATGGGCTCGTCGCCGGCGGGGAGGGTGCAGGGAGAGGCCGCGCACAGATGCACCAAACCGATCCTCTCGTTGTCCCGAGTCTTCTCCAGGTCAGCCTTCAGGTGGCGATGGGAGATGCCCTTCGCTTCCTTGAATTTGTACACGTAGCCGTGACGCGTGACGCGGCCGCCCTTCAGCGGCCCCTGTTCAAGCCTGGCGACCGAGCCCCCTGATTGGATGATGAGGTCGCTGGGCATCATCTTCTCGGCTCTACCCCCTCTCGCCCGAACCTCGGTCTCGACGTAGTCCTCGTCGACAGCCAGCGCCTCCGACGGGCCGTGCCAGTTGAGAACCTCCGCTGAGTTGCCGTCGAGCGCCAATTTCACGTCGCGCCCTGTCTTGCTGCCCTGCGCGAAACCCAGAAGCGTCGCCAGCAGCAGAGACGAGTAGCTCCATGCTGTCTTAAGGAACCAGACGAGGAGGCCCACTGCCGAGCTGAGGGCCGTCGCTACACCAAGGGCGGCCAATCCCATGGCCGCCCGCTGCAACCTCGCTCAATAGGCGCCGATTAAGTAACGGCCCAGGGAGTCGACCAGACCCATGATGAACGCGATGAGCTGGCGGAGGACCGCGCCCAGAGCGCGCCCCATTCTCTCCCCCAGCCACTTGAGCACCGCCTCTACGATGGAGTTGACCCGTTCCATCGAGAACAACTCTCCGCCAAGTGCCGCGGCTGAAGTCGGGTCGCGAGCGCTAGAGGGCTCGCCGCCACCATCCGTCAGATTCCACGCTCCGCTCCGCCCCTCGGGCGGTGGAGGCGGTGGGCCTGCCCCGGATGCCTGCGCCCCCTTGGCCCCCTTCCTGGGCTCGCGCCTCCCCCGTCCTCGCGGGCGTGGGCGCAGGTGCCTCCCACGCTACCTCAGCCTCAGGCCGCGCGGCGTCGTCCCGCAGCGCGGCGTCCTCCTTCTCCGCTTCGCCCGCCCGGGACTCCTCGGGGCCTCTGGGCCCGCGGGGTGGAGCCCGCGATGCTGGCGCGGGCGCCGACCTCGCAGGGGCGTGGTCGGCGTAGTAGTAGTCGTAGTAGACGTAGTACTCTTCCGAGCTCTCGCCTCCCCGAAGTGAACGCCTGCCCGGGCCGGCCATGGGCGGCGGCGGGCCCGCGGCCAGGGGCTCTGCGGGGGCGGGGGGCGCCGCTGGTGGAGGTGGCCCCGCGGGCGCCTCGACCGCCGGCAGCTCATCGCCGCCCGCCTCCTCGCAGCTGGCCTCATCTTGGGGGCCAGGCTGGTCCTGCTGCTGCCCATCTCCTTCATCGTCGGGCCCAGCGCGCTCGTGACCTCCCTCCTCGGGGCCCGTCGCGATGGCGGACACGTGGACCGCGGCGCGCCAGTTCGCGCCGAACAACGCGTCGAGCCACGTCGCCAGCGCGCCCATGGCCAGGGCGAGCGTGCACTCCAGGCCGTGGACCGGCCTCATCTTGCTGTCTGGCCGCCGGGGTGCTCCTCGTTACCCCTGCGGCCTCCGCTCCCCTGCGGCGCCCCGAGCAGCTCCTCCTGCAGCCGGGGGCGAATGGGGGGCCGCGCGCGCGGCGCGGCGTGCTATGGCCCCGCCCGCCCACCTCCAAAAGAAGCGGCACGGCCCCCTAGGAGCCTCGAGCGAGAAGGGTTGCGGGGAAAGAGGCAAGCAGGGGCAGGGCAGGGGAGAGGGGCTACGCCAGGCTGGGAAACCCTATGTTCGAATGAACGCTCATTGTGGCCACGCTGCCCCGCCCCTCGGGGTTCGGGCGCCCCCCGAACCCCGACGGCGCGAGACGCTTCGATTGGAGGCGTCGCCCTCGGGGGTTCGGGGGGATCCGCTCCCGCGAGAATGGCATCGAGGGCCGAACGACTCGGCGGCGGCGGCGGGGGTCAGTTCGATTCGCTCGGCCACCCTTTCCCTCCCCATGCGTTCAGTCTCCTCGAACCCCCGAGGGGGCGAAACGTGTCCATTGGAAGAGTCGCCCTCGGGTGTTTGGGATATCCCGCGCCCCCCAGATAGCACGTGGTGGCCGGGCAATTCGGCGGCGGCAATGCTGGGCCAAGTGGCCCTTCGCCCCCGCTCCCCCACCCCCATGGGTCCGGGGGCTCTCCGGGGCCCCGAAGGCACGCGACGCTTCCTTTGGAAGCGTCGCCCGCGGAGCCCAGGGATACCCGCGTCCGCGGGAGAGGAGTCGGGGGCCGGGCGGCCCGGTGGCGGCGGCGGACGGCAAACTGAATCGTTCGGCCACGCTCTCCCCCCCCCCATGGACTCGGGGGCCCCCCCGACCCCCCAAAGGCACGACACGCTTCTGTGGGAAGCGTCGCCCACGGGGGTTGGGGGATCCCGCGCCCTCAAGAAAGGAGGCGGGGAGCGAACGACTCGGCGGCGGCGGCGGCGGCGGGGGGCAGGGCGACTCGTTCTGTCGCGCTCCCCCTCCCCGTGGCATCGGGGGCCTTCCGAACCCCGAGGGCGCGAGATGCTTCGACTGGAACAATCGCCCTCGGGGGCCTGGGGACCCCGCGCCCGCGGGTAAGGCGTCGGGGGCCGAACGACTCGGCGGCGGCGGCGGGGGGCAGGGCGACTCGCTCGGCTACCCTCTCCCTCCCCATGGTTTCAGTCCCCCCGAACCCCCGAGGTGGCGAAGCGCCTCGATGGGAAGGGTCGCCCTCGGGTGTTTGGGATATCCCGCGCCCACAAGAATGGAGGCGGTGACCGAAGAATTCGGCGGTGGCGGTGCTGGGCCAGGTGACCCTGCGCCCCCGCCCTCCTACTCCCATGGGGTTGGAGGCTCACCGAGACCCCGGAGGCGCGGTACGTTTTTTTGGTTTGTTTTGGAAGCGTCACCACCATCGGAATCCAGGGAAACCCGCCCGCGGGGGAGGAATCGTTCATGCGTTTTTTGTCAGGGGTCCCCAGGTTTTTGTTGATGAATCTTCGAGAATCCTCAGAAATCCAAATGGCACCGAAGGAATCCGCAGGATCCTTTGGAATTCATGGGGCCCGCAGGAATCCCCCAGGAATCATGCAAGAATCCTGCAATCATCCAGTCTGATTTTTTTTGGACTGCCCCAGGAATCCTTTAGGAAGGGGCTTCTAATGAGCCTCTGAGGAGCCCCAAGGGAGCTTCTAGGGAACCGTTTAAGGAGTCTCTAAGGTGCTTCTAAGCAGCCTCTGAGGAGCTCCGAAGGAACTTCCAAGGAGCCTCGAAAGAACCTATAAGAGGCCTTTCGAAAGGAACGTCTAAGGAGCCTCTGGGGAGCCTGCTGAAGGAACTTCGGAGAAATTTTCTCAAGCAAAACATTCGAATGGCTTGCAAAGCGGTTGTAATTGGTCCCGTTTGGTTGGGATTGGGACCGGAATTAAGTGTTGCAATCCGTCCCACTTGGCTGAAACTTGTTCGATTTTCTGTCGACCCCCCCTTCCCCCTTTTCTTTGGGCCCTCGTGCTTCTCCCTGTGACGGCACCGAGCGTGCGCGGGGTGGGGCTGGGGGGATGCTGGTCCCCCCGCAGCCATGACGCAGTGCTCATAGGAGTGTTGTGGCGCTCGCAGGGCCCCCCCCCCACTTCCCCCCGCCGTACTGGACGGTACCGGGAGAACTCGATGAATTGATTGAGTGGTGGATGATACGGCCTATGGTCTTCACCTTGGTTTACTGGTTTGGAAAGGAGGAGGTACGTTTTGGACCCTCCCTACGGCTGTCTTCGATGGCCGAGGGGCCGCAGGATCCTCGGCCCACTCCCTTGCTTAAACATTCAATCTCCAGGAAGCAGCGCTGAGACAGCAGCTATCCGAGGTTCAGGCCAAGCTCTCCGCGGAGCAGCAGCAGAGAGAGTCGGCTGGCTCTGCTGCAGCCGCGGAGACGAGGCAGCTGAGGCAACAAGTGTCCGAGCTGCAGGCCACGCTCTCGGTGGAGAAGCAGCAGCTGGAGTCAGCCAGTTTTGCTGCGGCCGCAGAGGCAGAGCAGCTGAGACAGCAGGTGTCTGAACTGCAGGCGAAGCTCTCCGCAGAGGAGCAGCAACAACAGTCGGCTGGCTCTGCTGCAGCTGCGGAGGTGGATCAGTTGAGGCAGCAAGTGTCGGAGCTGACGGCCAAGCTCTCAGCGGAGGAGCAGCAGCGCGAGGGCGTCAGTTCTGCCGCGGCTGCGGAGGCAGAGCAGTTGAGGCAGCAGCTGTCCGAGCTGAGTGCCAAGGTCGCATTGGAGGAGCAGCACCGGGAGACGGTCGGCTCTGCTGCAGCGGCGGAGGCAGAGCAACTCAGACAGCAGCTATCCGAGGTTCAGGCCAAGCTCTCCGCGGAGCAGCAGCAGAGAGAGTCGGCTGGCTCTGCTGCAGCCGCGGAGACGAGGCAGCTGAGGCAACAAGTGTCCGAGCTGCAGGCCACGCTCTCGGTGGAGAAGCAGCAGCGGGAGTCAGCCAGCTTTGCTGCGGCCGCAGAGGCAGAGCAGCTGAGACAGCAGGTGTCTGAGCTGCAGGCGAAGCTCTCCGCAGAGGAGCAGCAACAACAGTCGGCTGGCTCTGCTGCAGCTGCGGAGGTGGATCAGTTGAGGCAGCAAGTGTCGGAGCTGACGGCCAAGCTCTCAGCGGAGGAGCAGCAGCGCGAGTGCGTCAGTTCTGCCGCGGCTGCGGAGGCAGAGCAGTTGAGGCATCAGCTGTCCGAGCTGAGTGCCAAGGTCGCATTGGAGGAGCAGCACCGGGAGACGGTCGGCTCTGCTGCAGCGGCGGAGGCAGAGCAACTCAGACAGCAGCTATCCGAGGTTCAGGCCAAGCTCTCCGCGGAGCAGCAGCAGAGAGAGTCGGCTGGCTCTGCTGCAGCCGCGGAGACGGAGCAGCTGAGGCAACAAGTGTCTGAGCTGCAGGCCACGCTCTCGGTGGAGAAGCAGCAGCGGGAGTCCGCTGACTCTGGGGCGGGTGTGGAGGTGGAGCATCTGAGACGGCAAGTATCCGAGCTGCAGGCGAAGCTCTCTGCAGAGGAGCAGCGGCGAGAGTCGGCGGGCTCGGCCCTGCCGAGGTCTCCTGCAGCGGGGTCGCCTGGGCCGCAGGTGTTCGACATGGGGGACGGCGATTCCGAGGACGACAGGCAGTCGCGAGAAGGAAAGGGTTCATGACCAGACATCTACATGCCCGTTTTGGGGCAAGGCCTTGGCATGTTTGGTCTTCTGGCGGGACCGGGAAGCAACAGACGCTAAGACTTGGGCTCCGATTGTGTGAGCGCAGGTTTTGCGATCGTGTACGTTTCGTGACGCTTGGTGTCCCCATCAGCTCATCCAGAAATGATCACCAAGCGAGCTGCCTTGAAGCACGGGGAAGTAGAGAAGCACACGGTGTCAGAAGAAGGGGCAGCCGCCTTGCCACCTTCACGTCCTCTTTCGTATCTTCTTCTATCGGATGAGGGGCCTCATGGGGCGCAGCGAGTGCTTTTTATGACTGTCCGTTGATCGCCTCGTCACGGCGGAGAGGCGGTGAAGATATCAGGAGTCGACCAGAGAGGCTTTCGGGGCCCTGTGGGATTGGGGCCCTCCTGGGACCATCCGGGAGGCAGGCCATCGATCCAACAAGGGTGAGTCGTGATTTAGATGCCCCCGTCGGGGAGGTGGGGAGGGGGGGGGGAACAGACACCCTTTTAGCACCCTCGTGGGGCTCTCTCGGGGTGCTCTTGGGGGCGTATGGGGCCGCCTTTGTGAGTATCAGAGCTCCATTCCGGGCTCTCGTGAGCCATATCGAAGAAATATCCAGGCACCACCCGTCGAAATCGGACAAGCGGAAAAGGTTGGGAAGCTCTGTGACCGTCTTCAGCCATTTGGGGGGGCCGTCTGAGCGCGTGTTGGGTCCCATCTTGGGGCTCGTTTCGGGCTATGTTGCACCATTTTTGAGGCCGCCTTAGGCTATGTCAGGCCGTCCTGGAGCGATCTTGGACCCAGACGGGCTCTCCTGAACGCCACAAGTTGTCTCGCTCACTCGCCCGACGCCCGCCCTCCAACCACACACGAGCAGCGCCCGAGACCCCGCATGATCAGGCAGCAGTCGCCATCCGATGGAGGCATGCGCCTGCGCGGGCAGTCGCGCGCGAGCTGCCCGCAGAAGGGTCGCGCGTGAGAGCGCCCCCGTTCTCCGGGCAGTGTGCCAGGCAGACGGCCCGCGTAAGCCAAGGCGCAAGGTCGCCAAGCCATCTTCGGCGGCGAGCCAGGGGAGGAAGAGAGAAGCGGCGGCCTTCTCAGAAGGCTCGAAAGCCCCCCAGCCTTCTGCGAAGGTTGCTGAGCCTTCCCCGAAGGCAAACAGAAACTTCTCGGAGGGCGCGAGGGCTTCTGAGAAGTCCCCTCGCCTTCTGAGAAGGCCTTCTCCTTCTCATTTCCCCCTCTCACTCGCCGCCGAGATAGGGCGACGAGATCTATACAGTAATACAGACCCACTGCCACAGGCCCGACCCACTGTGTGCCCGGCAGCGGTGTCCTTGCGCCCTCCTGGCACGGCCAGGGAGCCACACACATCGCTCTCGTGCCCAGCATGGGCCAGGCCTGGGGCAGTGGCTATGTAATCTCGTTGTCCTGCACAGTCAACCCGCATAGTAACGATGGGCAACCTTCCCAAGGGTACCCTTGCATCCTTGCCTCTTCGCCGCTTTCGCTGGCCGCGCCTCGCTCGAACAGCTTCGAAATGGGCGTCCGAGGCCCTTGCATCCTTATCGCGCATCCTTACTACACTGGTTGCCCTGTACGACACGCTCCTTGTCGTCGCTTTTTCTGGGAACCGACACAGGCGCCAGGTGCGCCCCGTGCGCCTCTGTTGCGCCCCGGTGCGCCGGCCGAGTGTACAAAGTGCGCGCCAGGTGCTCCAGATGCGCCACGGGCGGGCATGAGGCGCGCCTGGTGCGCCAGGTGCGCCAGCGCACGTGACAGCAGACATCGAGCAGCATGTCGGCATCCTCACCATCCCTTCCCACAGCCACTGCAGAGTGAGGGCGGGTGGATGGCACCGTGCATGGTCCATGCACTGCGCTGTTGTTTGATGGGGGTAGCAGGTTGACGCACACGTGACACCATGCGGATGCCCCCACCGCCCCTGTCAACAAATAACAATGCAACAGAGTGATGGGCTGCCCGATTATGGTCAGTGCTTGCCGCAACTTACACTTCGCTTATGATGTTTCAACCTACGTTAGCCTTGATCACCAGAAAGAATTTCGAGCACCAGGAAAGTGCCGAAATTGGAGGGTTTTCACGTGTCGGGCCCTGGGAGGCGATAATCATGAGACATTGTTTCGGCACTCTTCTGGGCGCTCGAAACTATTTCTGGGATGTGGTCCTCAAGTACGATGGGAGCAACACAACACTTCGCATGGCTTTTTGACTGGGATGGTAGGGGTTGCCGGCGTGTGTCCTGGTCGGCGGACGACTGGGGAGGGGAGGGGAGGCATCCATCAGGAAGGAGCAGCGGCCAACCTCCCCCCCCCGACGGGAAGAAGAGATCATACATGCGAATGTTGTCTTTGGGGACTTCAGGGGGGAAGAGGGGGCGGGCACGGCTGGACGAAGCTCCAGCAGCTTGCCCCGAAGCCGCCTGGGCGGCGTGCGCGGGCCCGTCTGTGCGACGAGGGCCTGTCAAGGCGTCTGGTGTCCTCCCTTAAACTCGCGTTGGAGCTTCCACAGCGATGAATATGGATGTGCTCCCCCTTTGTTAATTAAGGGAAGGAGGAGGAGGAGGAACGAGGAACGAGGAACGAGGAGCGAGTAGGAGGACGAGGCGGAGGAGTATTAGGAGGAGAGGAGGAGGGAGGAGGAGGAGGAGGAGGAGGAGGAGGAGGAGGAGGGAGGAGGAGAGGAGGAGAGGGAGAGGGAGAGAGGAGTGAGGAACGAGGAGGAGGAGAAGGAGGAGGGAGGAGAGGAGTGAGTGAGAACGAGGAGGAGGAGAAGGAGAGGAGGAGCGAGGAGAGAGCGAGGAGCGAGGAGGAGGAGGAGGAGGAGGAGGGAGGAGGAGGAGGAGGAGGAGCGAGGGAGGAGAGGAGAGGAGGAGGGAGCGAGGAACGAGGAGGAGGAGGAGGAGGAGGAGGAGGAGGAGGAGGAACCGACTCTTCCCTGAGGCAGGGCGGCGCAGGCGGCCCCGCGCGCGACGGGGACGCCGAGGCTGCCTGGTGGGGCGACGCTGCTCCGCGCAGCGGCGGGCCCGCGCCAGCCGAGGCAGATCTGCTGGGCGACGCCTCGCCGGCGAAGCTGGCCGCGGCCGCGAACGGCGACGCCGCAGGTGGAGGGTTTCTCCGAAGGGCTTAGGCGACCCGTCCTCCTCCTCCTCCTCGTCCCTCCTCCTCCTATTCCTCCCCCCCTTCATTCTCCGCCTCCTTCTCCCTCCTCCTCCTCCTCCTCCTCCTCCGCCTCCTCCTCCTCCTCCTCTCCTCCTCCTCCTCCCTCCTCCTCCATCTCCCCTCCTCCTCCTCCTCCTCCTCCTCCTCCTCCTCCATCTCCTCCTCCTCCTCCTCCTCCTCCTCCTCCTCCTCCTCCTCCTCGGGTCGCCTACGGCCCCGGGGGAAACCGTGCAGCCGCAGGGCATGGCGAAGAGCACGCGGCGCAGCGGCGAGCGGCCGAGGCGGCCGCTGCTCAGGCAGAGGAGCTGCAGGCGGAGCTGGCGCGGCTGCGAGAGGAGTCGGCGGCGCAGCAGGGCGCGGCCAAGGCAGCCGGCGTCAGCGCCGCCGCCGAGGTCGAGGAGCTGCAGGCGGAGCTGGCGCGGCTGCGAGAGGAGTCGGCGGCGCAGCAGGGCGCGGCCAAGGCAGCCGGCGTCAGCGCCGCCGCCGAGGTCGAGGAGCTGCAGGCGGAGCTGGCGCGGCTGCGAGAGGAGTCGGCGGCGCAGCAGGGCGCGGCCAAGGCAGCCGGCGTCAGCGCCGCCGCCGAGGTCGAGGAGTTGCAGGCGGAGCTGGCGCGGCTGCGAGAGGAGTCGGCGGCGCGGAGCCGGGCCGAGGCGGCCGGCAGCGCTGCCGCCGCCCAGGCGGAAGAGCTGCGGGCAGAGCTGGAACGGCTCAGGGAGGAGTCCGTCGCGCAGCGGAATGCCGCTGAGGCAGCTGGCGCCGTCGCCGCTGCCAGAGCGGAGGAGCTGCAGGCAGAGCTGGCGCGGGTTGAGGGTGAGTCGGCGGTGCTGCGAAGCGCAGCCGAAGCGGCTGGCACCAGTGCCGAGGCCGAGGTGGAGAAGCTGCGGCAAGAACTGGTGCGGCTTCAAGAGGAGTCTGTCGCGCAGCGGACAGCCGCCGAGGCAGTTGGGGCCGCCGCCACCTCGTCTGACCAATCCCCATCCCCATTGGACCAAGGGTTCCCCACCCCACCCACCTACCCCCCAGGTGGGGATAGGTCTGTGAGACCCGGAGGGGAGAGTTTACACATGCATTCACGCATGCATTCATTCATGCCTGTACGTACATGAATCCGTTCAAACATACACACATATGTGCATGTATATATATATATATATATATATATATACGTACACGCAACCAAGCAAGCCAGCAAGGAAACACATAAGCACGCGAGCACACACGTACACATTCACATGCACATGCATATCACAGACACATACACATTCACATACACATACACACACAACACACACACACACACGAAACACACGCATTCAAGCATGTATTCACGCACACGCACACACACACACACACACACACACACTGTATTTTACCCCTCCACACTGGCGCACGAATAGTTTTGAACGGTAGCTCCGCTGGGTTTCGGGGGCCCTCGGATTCCTCGCTGGGTCTTCCCCGCTGTTTTTCTTGCCTCTCCTCTCCCATATTTCGGATAATCGAGGATGGGGCTTAGGTTTCGATCTTTGGATTGGCGCCCGCGAGCATTCGTTTCGGCTCGCGAAGCGTGCCAGCAACAAAAAGAAAGAGGTTGCTGGCGCGCGCGCGCCTCCTCTTCTTTTGCTGTTCATTGTTATTATTATTACTATTATTATTATTAAACTTATTATTATTATTCCCACATCCAAAGTGGGGTTCTTGTTTTCTCTGCACACCCCGCGCAGGAACACTCACCCCACCCCCTCTCCTCTTCTGCCTTCGCACACTCACTCACTCACTCATCATCACCACGCTTCACTCACACTCACACTCACTCACACTCTCTCATCATCAACATCAGCATCATCACTCGCGCTCTCTCACACGCTCAGTCACTCACATAATCAACATCATCATCATCATCATCATCATCATCATCATCATCATCATCACTCGCACTCTGTCACACGCTCACTCATTCACATACTCACCTGGAGGAAGTCTCGAGCGGGAGCCTCGTCTGTGAGCGAATTGCGAGGAAGTCTCAGGCGGGAGCCCCCTCCCTATGGGGCCCGCACTTCATGTTCGAATCCGAGCGGGTCATCCGCAACGTGCAACTGTCGTCACTTTTGGGCTCTTGAGACCTGAATATGGAGGAAGTCTCGAGCGGGAGCCTCGTCTGTGAGTGAATTGAGAGGAAGTCTCAGGCGGGAGCCCCGTCCCTATGGGGCCCGCACTTCATGTTCGAATCCGAGCGGGTCGTCCGCATCGTGCAACTGTCGTCACCTTGGGGCTCTTGAGATTTGAATACGGAGGAAGTCTCGAGCGGGAGCCTCGTCTGTGAGTGACTTGCGAGGAAGTCTCAGGCGGGAGCCCCCTCCTTATGGGGCCCGCACTTCATGTTCGAATCCGAGCGGGCCATCAGCAACGTGCAACTGTCGTCACTTTTGGGCTCTTGAGACCTGAATATGGAGGAAGTCTCGAGCGGGAGCCTCGTCGGTGAGTGAATTGAGGGGAAGTCTCAGGCGGGAGCCCCGTCCCTATGGGGCCCGCACTTCATGTTCGAATCCGAGCGGGTCGTCCGCAACGTGCAACTGTCGTCACTTTTGGACCCTTGAGACCTGGATATGGAGGAAGTCTCCAGCGGGAGCCTCGTCTGTGAGTGACTTGTGAGGAAGTCTCAGGCGGGAGCCATCTTCCTATGGGGCGCGCACTTCATGTTCGAATCCGAGCGGGTCATCCGCAACGTGCAACTGTCGTCACTTTTGGGGTCTTGAGACCTGAATATGGAGGAAGTCTCGAGCGGGAGCCTCGTCTGTGAGTGGATTGAGAGGAAATCTCAGGCGGGAGCCCCGTGCCTATGGGGCCCGCACTTCATGTTCGAATCCGAGCGGGTCATCCGCAACGTGCAACTGTCGTCACTTTTGGGGTCTTGAGACCTGAATATGGAGGAAGTCTCGAGCGGGGGCCTCGTGTGTGAGTGAATTGCGAGGAAGTCTCAGGCGGGGGCCCCCTCCCTATGGGGCGCGCACTTTATGTTCGAATCCGAGCGGGTCATCCGCAACGTGCAACTGTCGCCACGTTTGGGCTCTTGAGACCTGAATATGGAGGAAGTCTCGAGCGGGAACTGCGTCTGTGAGTGAATTGTGAGGAAGTCTCAGGCGGGAGCCCCCTCCCTATGGGGCCCGCACTTCCTGTTCGAATCCGAGCGGGTCATCCGCAACGTGCAACTGTCGTCATTTTTGGGGTCTTGATACCTGAATATGGAGGAAGTCTCGAGCGGGAGCCTCGTTTGTGAATGAATTGCGAGGGAGTCTCAGGCGGGAGCACCGTCCCTATGGAGCCCGCGGATCATGTTATAAATCCGAGCGGGTCATCGGAAATGCTAATTGTCGTCACTGCTGGGCTCCTGAAGCTTGAATATGGGAGAAGTATCAGGCGGGAACCTCGTTTGTGAGTGAATGGCGAGGAAGTCTCAGGCGGGAGCCCCCTCCCTATGGGGCCCGCAGATCATGTTAGTTCGTTTCGAAATATACGCGGAAGAGACAAGCCAGGACGCCTCGCCAACCACGAGGACGACGGTGAGGGCTTTTCCTAGATTCGCCCAGAGGATTCTCATGTGGGGTCCTTCCGTCGGAGTAATTATTATCATTATTAATATTATTAGTATTATTATTTCTATTATTATTCTTATTACGATTATTATTATTACTACTACTAGTATTATTGGTATCATGAGTATTAATATTATCATTCTCATTATTCTTCTTATTATTATCTTTATTATTATCATTAATAGTATTATTATGTATTATTTAGTAGGAGTAGTATTATTATTCGTGATTTTCTTTTCTCTTTCTCTCTCTCTCTCTCTCTCCCTTTCCTCTCCCTCGTCGTCGCCGCCGTGTCGTACTGCTCCCGGTAAGTATACAATGCACGAAAGGAACTTGGACGCCTTCCGAGGCGAGCCGAGGCGCATTGCACAATGTAGGCGTTTGGCCCGGAGGCCATTCTACCCCCAAGTCCAGGTCGTCAGCCGAAGCAGCGCAAACGCTGCAACTGGCGCGAAACGATTTTTTTTATTATGGTGATTTGGAAACTAAGAGGCCATCATCTCCGACGTGTCCTTCGCTTCGGAGGTTTTTCGAGACAGGCAGCTGCCAAACTGCGGCCAGCTGGGCATGGGCGAATCGCACCCACTAATGCGCCCCAGATTCTTGGCCAGCAAATGGCTGAAATGCACGGGCAGGCTTCGCTTGAGCAGTGTAAAATGTCAGAACAACAACAGATTACGAACAACCTTCACGGAATTCGCGAGCGCACCCCAGGCGCAAGATGCTCAATGGGTGGACCCTCAGGCTCGAGAAATTCCACGCAACCTGGCAGCTGCCACGGCGCAGACTCGCCAGGGTGATCAGCGACCTGCCGAGCAGGGGGCCATTCGCATTCTGGGGCGAATCACTGCTCGGACGAAAATCAAATCCCTCGCGTGTCGCCAGGAAATCTGGGCGACGCTGGCGGACTGCGTTTCGCCGGTGGCGATGTGTTTTGGTTGCGAGATCCTCTTCTCTTGAGACTACTGAATTGAATTCAATCCCTCCCTGGCAGGGCTGAAGGGCGCGACGGGGTAGGCGCCGGCCTGAGTGGCCAGACGCGCGGCGGCAGCGATCTCCACGCAGCGGGCGCGCATAAAATCCGCCGCGAAGATGCTGTGAACTCGACGCCCCCGACAACTCGTCGCGATTGCCCGGCACGGCAGGCGCCCATCGGGCAACGACGCCGCGTCGGGGACAGCCGGCGCCACTGCGGCGGGGGAACCTGGCGCCGTTGCGGCGGGGGAATCTGGCGCCGATGATTCTGCGGGACCTCGGGGCAGTGACGGGCGATCTTTCGCCGCCGCGGCCGCGCCTTGCAAGGGGGCCGGCGCCCAAATCGCGCGAGCCGCCGAAAGCGCCAAACAGACCGGCGCGCGACAAACCGGCCGCGCAGGAATTGCGGGCCCAGCCCCCGGGAGCTCGGCGCGGCGCCCCAAATGTTCTGCCGCCGTCCGAGATCGAAGCGGCCCGCGCAGGTGCGGGCTCATCGAAAGACCGCCAGTCTGCCGCTGGAGAAGCCGCCAGAATGTTGACGACCCAGGAGAAGAAACTAGGCAGCAAGAAGCAGAGCGCCTCGCAAAAGATCACCAGGGACGGCATATGGCATTTTTCTGGGAAGCCTGCCGATATCCCTAGACGGATCGCACGCGGGCTCAAAGTTGAAAAGAGCGCACGGTCGTCGCCAGCGCGGATCTGGGCCGGCGCCCGTCAGGCAAGTTCCTCGGGCCGCAGTTTTTTTCGAGGATTGCAGGGGGCCGTCGCGACGGCGAAGGCCCCCCGCCGTCGCGCTCCCCGCGCGCGGCCGGGAGCGGCGAGCATCGCCCCCGATAGTGTCGCACCATGCACGGAAACATTGGCGAGAGCACCCTTTCCAGAGGGCCCTGGCACCCGCGGGGCGGGCGACGCCAAAGCCGGCTCCGCCGTTGCATTCTAACGTTGCGTCGACGAAAGTTGGCGCGTCTTCTTCCGCCCCGCGAAATGCAGACGCGCCCGCCCCTGCAATCGCGTCGGCGAAAGCAGGCGCGCAGAGTGCCGGTGCGTCGGCGAAAGCTGACGCCGCGCCTCGAGGCCCCTCCTCGGCCGCCGCCGGGGCAGACGCCGACCTTGGCGCGACGGGCCGCCGCGACGCCGGCAGGGCCCCGGACTTTGCAGGGGCGGAGGTGCCTCGGGGACACGCGGCGCATTGGCGGGCCCATCAGTCAGCCGCTGAGCTGTCCGATGCAGGGCGGGCTGTCATGAAGCCCCCAGCGAGGGCGCACGGCCGCGCAAGAAACCACCGCGACCGGAGGTTCTGGACGCCATTTAAACGTTGTGTTTTGTCGGTTGTTTCTGCGTGGCGGCTGTTGTTGGCGAGTGTTGCTGGTTTG